GGTATATGAAGATTTTAAACCTTTTGTTTCCAAGCAGAACTGTTATATAAACACTAAACACTTGACCTTTTTAGATTTCAGAAATTGTTAGAAATGATGGTTCTTTAAAGGCCTCAAAGTCCCTGAGAGTTCTTGTGGTTCCTATTGAAGACTAAGCTCCTAGTTGTCCTCTCCCTTCTTTGTTCTGTGTAACTTCCTCACGTGTTCAGCAGTACTGAAACAGAGCATTAGAACGATGAGGTCTGCTAGGGAGGAACTGTCCGTGGTGCTGAATATGAGGGCCTGTATTCTGAGCAGAGGCTGTGTTTGCACTACTTCAGTCTGGGCAGACTGGAATGTGTTCTGGGATGCATTCTGGGATATGTGTGTGTTGTCCCATGCTCTGAAGCAATCTAGTTTAGCTGATTCTTCAGCAAGAGCTCATTTGCATAGTGAAGAACTCATGAATAAGGAACAGCTGGAAGTGATGGTGTTCCACAGTTCGTGTTCAAAATGGAAAACAGATTCAGAGATTCTGAAGAAAAGCAAAGTTGGAGAAAAGAGTAAGTGGTTAGTCCACATACATACTCAACCCTAAACAAACTGAGTGTTTCAGTGTGTTTATTTATGAGCAGCAGAACAGCCATAGAGGAGTAACACTCTGCTGCCATCTAGTGCCTTGCTGCCATCTTGCACTTTCCAGCTTTGGCATTTTATTTTGACCAAATATATTTCTAGATGCCACAGCTGACCAACTTCTGGATCCCTAAAGAACCATGTTTGAACACTTGTGAGCATGAAGAACCTTTCAAAAGTCTGTAGAACTTTCACATAAAGTAAAGGCTCTAAACCAATTTGAGGGTTCTTCCTAAACCTTTAGATTATATGGAAGTTCTTTAAACTTTAAAAAGGTTGTTCATACTTACACATTCACAAGTACGTTTCTGTAAATAACCATCCAATATTCTTTAAGGAACCAAATGTAGTTCATCTATGGCACCATGCAAAGAATCATTTTTACTTTTACTTCTATACCCTTAAATACATGGTTCTTCAAAGGTTCTTTAGTAAAAGCTATGGTTTAAATACATAGAACCATGACAACTCAAACAACCACTTGAATGCCTGTTTGCTGTATATGGTTCCTCAAAGAACATTTTTAAGTGATTCTATGTAGCACCAAAATAGAACCATAGAATCTTTTTGGTACTGTATAGATCTCTTTATGCTAAGAGTGTACCTGCATCATTATTTAAGTCAAATTGTTTTTATTTAACCATCTATCGCATGGATTATGAAAGCAATGTTTTAAAATTGTTATTAACTTTTCTTGCATAAAATGATAAATGCCTGATTACTAAAATAAAAAAATAAATAAATAAATAACAGTGTGGGCAGAGGACCTTTTGGACCTTTGCTTTTATGTAGTATACAAGTCATTTCTATGATTTTGAATGTTGAAACAGGGACTTTATACTTCATTAGATGTGATTCATATTTTAATAGACTGAAAATTGAAAAATGATAAAAATGTTTTTCTGAGGGAATATTTTTAGTGCAGGAGCTTGTGTCCACCACCAGCTGCACAGGTTAAAAATGTCCACCAATTGATATTATGACTGAGTACAAGCACTGGTTGGTTTATTCAAATATGTCCTTTTTTGTATTAACCTTTTTATTGTCATTAAATATTCATGTCATTATAAAGTGAGGAAAATGGGTTTGTTACCCCGAGGCAACAACTGTACAGGGCTACATTTGATTTTAGGCTGCTCTACTCACCTCTTTTGACTAGCACTCTTCTAGTTTGGACTGTTTCACTATGGTGCTGAGGTCTATTACACATACACAGTTACAAATACACTTCTCCCAGACTCATTCTCTCATCTGCTAACAGCTGTCTGTGGAACTTAAGAGCATACAAGCTATGAAGTTGTTTGTTTGTATCTTGTAAACAGCCTTTACCAGTAATCTGCAATGTGCTTGCTGGAGGAGGCAAACGCAGCTCAAGCACCCATGTGTTAATAATGCATGCAATTTACAGCATTAATATGATTGCGTGTAGGAGCCTGTACGCATCGTGTTTGTGTTTGCAGATGTACTGCGTCAGACTAAATGCAGTCACTGAGGCATGTGGAAACAAACACTGTTTTCTGTGAGCGCAAATAAAGACGGGGTTGTGGCTCAGAAAGGAAGCTGTAGTGACATTAGAAGCAGAAGCTTTTGCCAGGTTAGAATTCAACTTTTAATCCTTTAATCTAATTATTTTTCCACTGCACATTTAAAAAGGTTGACATGCAACACTATTAGCACTTGTTGACCTTAATACCCTCGATTTATATTACACTGGCAGTCAAAATGAATTGCTCACATACACGCATGTAACGCACTGATGTTTTGCAACTGTTTTTGATGTATGTATCCTGTTGGTTTACTTCAAGGGGACCTATTATGTTTTTAGGGTTTTTCCCTTTTTTATGCCTGTAAACGGTCTGCAAAGTTAAAAGCTCAAAATACACACCAGACGGAACAACTCTCTCCACAGAAACCACTTTTCTCAGCTGCCTGAAACGCCTCGCTGGAATTTCTGCCTTCTTCCTTTGTTACAACATGATGCAATCTTGTAATGCAATCCTTATTGTCCACCTACCGGAAAGCTTGACACGCCCTCACACAATGCACACTAACTACTGGAGGTATGGAAGAGTTTGTTAAGTTTTCTAGCCATGTTGAGAAGATATTGACCTTACGTTTAAGATCAGACTCCAACTGATACAGCAGAACTGACACCACTGGAAAATACACCACAGGTGTTTAGAGCTGCTCAGCTGTTGACCAATCAGAACAGGGTGGGTGAGCTGACCAATCAGAGCACACCTGGCTCATCAGGACGTGGGGCTTGAAGACACAGGAGCTCTAAGTGTGTTTCAGACAGAGGGTGTATACAGATGTACAATATGAGAAAAATTATGTGTTTTTGGAAGACTGAAGCATGCAAATTTATTCTAGTAGATGCCAAAAATGAGATTAAAAACACTGGAAATGAACATAATATGTACCCTTTACAGCAGGAAAAACCACAACAAATGACATATTAAAAAAAACAAGAACCATGCAAGATGCCACACAACTTCATTAAGAAATGCATTACAAAAACATTGCATGTATTTACTTAAAAATAACACAAAGACAATATATTTCATATTTTACTTTAACAACTTTATTGATTTTTGCTTATTCAAAATATGATGCCTGAAGCACATTCCAAAAAAGTTCAGAAAGGGGTAATGTAAGACTAAAAAGTTTATGAAATGATCACAAACACCTGTTTTGGAACACCACAGGTAAACAAGTAAACATCATGTTAACATGTCTGGGTATAAAAGGAGCATTCATGAAACGTTCAGCTGCCATTTTGCGAAAAACTAATTTAGCAAATAGTCCAACAGTTTAAGAAAAACATTTCTCAGCACATGATTGTAAGGAATTTAGGCATTTCACCAGCTACAGTCCATAACATTATTAAAAGACTCAGAGAATCCAGAAAAATCTCTGTGCATAAAGAGAAAGGCTGAAAACCACACTGAATGGCTGTGACCCTCAGATGGCACTGCATTAAAAACTGACATGGTTCTGTACTGAATATTAGCACATGGAGTTTGGGAATACTTCGTGAAACCTGTGTGAGTAAACACAGTTTGTCGGTGCATCTAAAAATGGAAGTTAAGACTCTACCATGCAAAGTGGAGGCCATATATCAACAATATCCTTCTGCACATATTAATACGCAATTATTGTTTATTTGAAAAATTTAACAAATTGAGGAAAATATATAGCACAATTTATATTTAATTTTCCTTCCAATTTGTTAAACTCAGCAAATACATAGAATTTGTGCACTAAAATTTGCAGAAAAAATGCCATATTTAACTTTGTTTTCTGTAGAGGATGTGTTCGCTTATTTTCACTTTGTATTCATACTTTTGCATTTGACCGTTTTTTAAATATAAATCTAAATATAAGTTCTCTGTGATTCTGCAGTAATTACACATTTTTCCAATGAAAAACCTACACTTGCATGCACAATTACATGCACATTTCCTTGATCATAACTCATTGGGTTGACACAGAAGGGGCGAGAGAGGGGGGGTGAGAGAAAGGGGGCGGGGGGGTTGAGAGAGAGAGACAGAGAGAGAGAGAAAGAGATCCTTATCATCTGACCCACTTCATACACTGTTCAGTTCAGACACTGCTAATACCCCGGCCCACCACACACGCATTACCAGGAAAGGCCTAAGAACACCCAGATCCTAATTACCTAAAGGGGGTCAGATGGTCTTTTAATCTAAAAACCGGGATGTATCATGACGTGGGCAGCATATGACATTAGCGTTGTCATATAAACCCATCCAAACCCTTGTGGAGAATAAATGAGAGAAGATTCAGCACAGAAACCAGGCCACAGTTTCATAAATCTTAGTACACCCAAACATGCCTGTGACTTGTTTACTGATTACTGCATTCAAAGCTGTACTGATAAAACTATGCAATGTGACACAAATTACATGTACGTGTAGTAAGATTAATGTTCTATGGCCTTTGATCATATGTAGAGTCTTACTTGTGTAAATGAGACCATATCAGGGGTATGACATAATCACGAAAACATCAACATCAAACATTGTGCATCAGTGCTGAAGTGCCTTTGGAAAAGACCTTCATTCATTTTCTTTTCATAGAGAAGGTGGGTCAGTGGAGCAATCAAGAAGAGTGCCATCATAGATCTCTCAGAGAATAAGCTGGCAGAATAATTCCATGCACAATCCGGATCTAGGGATTTTCTTCTGCAACTTATGTCACATGCTAAAAAGGCACTTTTGCTGTCTCCATAAAAGCGAGGGTCCCATATGAGCCCTGTGAGGTACACACTGAACTTACTTCATCTTTCTTATGAATCACTTCTGCTAGATCTTTCTTGAGGGAGCATCTTTGTTGTGACTCAAAAAAAAAGCAAAACAGAAATGGAGCACTCATCCAACTTCAGTCAGGCTGACACAATTCAACAGGGGTCAGTAAATGATGACATCATGCCAAGGATAGGCTACACCATCTTGGCTATCATTATCGGTTTGTTCTCGGTTTCTGGAGTCATCTTGAATGTGCTGGTGATCATCGTGACACTGAGACACAGACAGCTGCGTCAGCCGCTAAACTACGCTCTGGTCAATCTGGCAGTGGCAGATTTGGGCTGTGCTATGTTCGGGGGGCTGCCGACCATGGTCACCAACGCTATGGGCTACTTCAGTCTAGGAAGGCTGGGATGTGTTCTGGAGGGCTTCGCTGTTGCTTTCTTTGGTAAGTCTTGTTTTCGGCATGTGTCTGTTTTTACTGGTGACTACAGTCTGACCATTCTACTACTGACCTGCAAGCTAATGTTCCTGAGGACACCACACTGAGGGCCAGAGCACAGGCACAGCACAAAATGTGCCTTGATGTGTTTAAAATTTGTCTGAATTTACCGCTAGATTTACTAAGACTGCAGTTAATAATGCGAAGTGTGTGTAGCCCTGCCCACTGTGTACTGATAAAGACATAGCAGAGGTTATAAATGAAGTTCCTTTGCATAAAATCATTCTAGCTGGGCTCTTATTTTACTGTGAAACACTATAACGAACTGCTTGCTATGTTGCGGCACCATCATTTGCATCATTTTTGATCTCAGATTTATGTCTAATCCTGAAAGTTTTAACAATGTTATTCTGATGGCAAACGTGTTTTTGAGGCATGCATGTCCATCCAATTGTATCAGCTGCCATTGTTATTGGCAGGATGTATGATCAGCATGTTTAATATTAACTGTTAATGTTTTACATGGCCCTCCCTCAAATATACATTAGAGAGAGGTACATTTTGCATTTTACTGAGCATGTGGCCCATGAACTGCAGCCCGTGCACCAGTTTTTGTACAGTGGGCTCCAAAAGTGTGAGACTGCATTGAATATCTGGGATTTTTTCGTTTAAACTTAAAAATAAACAACAGAACATTTTGGAATTTTGAAAAAGTGAAAAGAAAGAAAAGTCATGGCAATTACAATAAAAAAAAACATTGTCACTGTGCCATAACTGCATGTCATTATGCAAATTTGTGACACTGACCATTTTGAGGCCTTAGTACAAAAATAAGGCATTATCTCTTCCAGTGAAGCACGTGTTTAGACGCCTCTCAGGAGCATTTTATCTACTTTTTTATGACCTAAGTTTGCTCATGAGCACTTGATATAGGTTTGCTTTTGTTCAAACTTGTGGAATCTGTGCCTGCTTGAGTGTATGCTGTCTTTAAAGCAAAATAAGGACATATCAAATGCTAAGAAATTCCAAAATTGATGTGGAAATTTCAAAGATTCTACTTTTCATTCTAATTGTCATGCTGACAATAGAATTTGTAATGAAAATCTTTCTGTAAAAGTAGAAAGGAATGCATAATAGAAGCTTTTATACTAGTGGTCTCAAACTTTTGGACCCCAGTGTATACAACATGCAGGTATATGCATCTGATTTGCACCTCAAACTAGTGCAAAAGCTCTAGATTGGGCCCTGAATGTCTAAGGCCAAGAAACATAAAAGAATGTGCGTAATCTAGCTGGTATGTGTCTACTGATTTAAACTGTGGCATGATTGATTCTTCTTTGCAAATCACAGTGAACGGTGCTGAGGCAGTGATCAAAACTTTAGGAACTAAAATGGCATCAATATGTTGATCCTAATGGCAACAACTTGGTGCAAGTCTCTGAATAAAAATGAATATCCATTTGAGTTTGACTCCTCTATAACAATGACCATCTCTTTTTTTCATCTACCAGGTATTGCTGGTTTATGCTCAGTTGCAGTTATCGCTATTGACCGCTACATGGTGGTATGCAGACCCATGGGCACAGTCATGTTCCAGACCAGGCACGCTGTGGCAGGTGTGGTCTTCTCCTGGGTGTGGTCCTTCGTGTGGAACACGCCACCGCTCTTCGGGTGGGGCAGTTACCAGCTGGAAGGTGTGATGACCTCCTGCGCCCCTGACTGGTACAGCAGAGATCCAGCCAACGTCTCGTACATCATGTGCTACTTTATGCTCTGTTTCGCGCTGCCTTTTTCCACCATCGTTTTCTCCTACTCGCGTCTGCTATGGACCCTACGACAGGTAGAGACCTGCAACCCAGAGGTCCTTTAGAGAAAAGCATAATTTCTAAATCAGTGTGGGGGGCGTGAAGGAGTGATTCTATGACTGACTGAAAAAGAAACTCAAATATTAAGAGCACAGTTCAGAGAGAAGGAGGTAAACTGGTGATTTCTGCAAGACTTGGTTTTGGCAAGCGAAATCATCTTAAACCTAGTCCGCATATCTAATATTTCTCATTTTGAGACTTTTAAGAGAATAAGAAGAAATAAAGAAGTTAACATATTGCTTTATTACGAATTTGTTCAGTGAAAGGAAACTGGAGGAAGAAAGAAAAGTTTACTTGGGTTAAATCAAGCTAAAGACTTCTGTTTCTATCCTAGGTAGCCAAGCTGCAAATGGCAGAAGGTGGAAGCACAGCCAAGGCTGAGATGCAGGTGGCACGTATGGTGGTTGTGATGGTCCTGGCCTTCTTACTAACATGGCTGCCCTATGCATCTTTTGCCCTTGCTGTGATCTTTGATCCCGACCTTTACATCAACCCTCTGATCGCCACGTTTCCCATGTATCTGGCCAAGAGCAGTACAGTCTTCAATCCCATCATATACATCTTCATGAACAGACAGGTGAGTGAAAGAGAAACAATCGTTAAAAGCACAACCAGCGGTTTTGACTTCGGAGAGTGATTTGCACCTGGAGAGTTTTGCTGTAGCTCAGATGTTGCACTTCGGAGCTTTAGCATTGTATTTTAGACCAAGGACGTGAAAAAGAGAGGAATAGTACCTTCTAGGCTGGTAGATGCTATGTGTGCTAGGAAAGAGTTTTTTTGACCTGTTACTTTTTTTTTTACTGTTAGGATACCTTTACTTCTCCTGCAGTCATTTTTTCATTGACATAACAATACATTTACAGTAGTATGGGGCTTAGGCTACTTCACACCTCTGTTGGCTGTTGCTAATAGGGGAGATTGAATCAGAATGTGTAAAAATACAATGACAAACACAATAGAGATAACTGTGAAGAAATCCATCCAAGAAAAAGTATACGCTGGATTTAGAGTAATGAAAATGAGTTACAGACATCAGTGAGTGCTACTAAATATGCTTTTCACTAATTAATAAGCTGAAAGGTGAAGATTCCAAACCAATTAGAAACCAGGGAGCTAGTCGTTTGTCTGGAGAATCAAAGTTGATTTCTTGTGCCTCTAGCCAGCCTGTAAAACAATGGACTGACACAGTGTTATCGCTGGACTGATGCCAAGATTAGGCCCAGCCTCTACATGACAAGTGACATGTGTGACAGACATGACCATGTAAGGATAAACAAAATTAGGCAGTGTAAACACAATCACAGCACATTCACACACAATACTGCATATAATAATGTATAAAACAGCACTAAACACATTGTACAACAATAGATTCCCTCAAAGGCATTCCACATTGAACGAGCGGCTGATAGGCTGATAAAAACATCTTGTTGAGGCAACTTTGTTTCTACAGTTATACCTTTATGTGGAATGCCTTTTGATCCATTTACTCAACTTCTGTAACTCATTTACAGGCTAACTTCCCTAAGTGACCTCGTTATCTGACCTGTGTTTAGTTCACAAAGACAGTCTAATCTAGGCAAGTTAATGGTGGTAGTGGCTTACGTGGTTGCTGAAAGATATATACATAATGCTTAAACATTACGTATGTAACTACATACATTGCAAGTTATGCAATAAATTACATTTACACTAAACTGTCACTGGGGGGGTGCTCCTGTTATCACTAGGGTGGTACTTTTAAGGGTATGTCTTCAGTACATTTAGTTGTATTGACTCCACACAGACTGTATGACTCCAGGATTTCATTGCTCTATCGCCAACAATGACTGCAGCACATAAGGGTCAATAATTATTAAAGTGATATTTAGTGTTACACCATGCTATGATGTTATGCTTTGGTCATATGGTTGGGTAAATAAAGGAAGTCCAGAAATCCTCATTTAGAATGTACAGGTAGTAAGAGTTGCAGACCTCAGCATGGGGTGGTCAATATCTTAAACTATTAAAATACATTGTTAAAAAGACAAAATATTGGATTTACTATAAAAAACAATCGCCTCATTCCAGATGTTTGACACATTGGGCCAAGGGCAGTGAAGCGGTATTGTTAACGATTCTAGTTTAAAATGAGTTTCTCCACTCCAGCGGACACAACCCAATGCACAGTACAATGAAAACCATGTAAAAACTCATAAACATTTTGCAAATTCAGAAAACAATTTGCTGTTGCTATTAGAAATTGTACAGTTTGACTGTGGACCTAATTCCCATTAAGATACAGTGATGTTAGTAATCTGTTCAAATAAAAGTTCATTTAATTTTACCAGGGAATGTTTAGAATCTGCATAGAAATTCAAAGTTAGAATGGCAAAGAGTGTCCTCTGGAGACATTTCTGTTAAATGTTCAATGTGTTTTCTGTATTTGTTGCATGTTTATGAAATGCGGCTTGTTTTTTTTTTTGTTTTGTGTTGTTTGTTTTTCATGCCTAAAGCTTTCTTTGCAAGGTAAAATTGTTCTCCAGAATGATGGAAAATGTGTTGTTTATACTTCCATATAGCATCAAAAAGAGTTATTATATAAAATTAGCAGGACTTTTGTGCTATAAAGAACCATTTTCAAAAGGTGCTATAGAAAATATAGAACACATTCTCCGTCAATCTAAAGAACCATGTAATTGTGTAAAGAACCATTTAAGCATGCAAATTATTTGAGTGTTATGTAGAACCATTGTCTTTACTAAAGAACCCTTTAAGAACCATTTTTTCATCTTATTGTAGCATCAGGAGTAGCAGGTTTTTTTATAATGAATAAATCCATATCTATACATTTTTGTAATGAATAAGATACTTTGTTGTTTCTTTTTTAAACATATATTATGTATTCGCACCAAATTCCGGTAAAAATGTCTTACCAGCTGAGCCTTTTAACATTTTAGAAAAGTAGACTCTGAGAAAACTGAGAGACCCTGAGTACAGTTAACGAATGCTCATGCACTGAGTATGTTCCACAACATTGAAATGACTCTCTCTCTCAGTTCAGGGACTGTGCTCTGCCGTATCTCTTCTGTGGAAGAAACCCATGGGTAGCCAAACCTGGAGACTCCGAGGTGGACACTGCGATAACTTCAATCAGCAAGAGCAACAAGGTGTCACCGTCATCACCATCCTCCACCACGCAGACTTCCAGCACGTAAACTCTCGACAGTAACAGGTCCACTCCTCCAGACTGAAACAAAATCCACTTACAATGTGACTTTTCCACCGCTCTTAAAAATATTTCAAGGTTATTCAATTCCACTCTTAATTAAGTTTATTAATGACTCCGCTGAATGCTTTGGTCCCTTGATAGCTTCGCTGGAATTTGGTGTGTCTAAATCCCTCAAAGAAGAAAGCTAATTTTGCACCCCTTGCTCAATCTTATCAGGAATTAGCATATAAAGCGCAGTTATGTTCCTCTGTTGTCTGTTTGTTTTGAAGAATAAAAAAATGTGTGTTCGACTTAAATTGCCTCTATTGTCTCTCAATAGACAAGAGAACGTAGCACAATCAAATAGCAACTCCCAGTCTAGAATCTTTTATGTTTAATTAGTGAAAGATTAAATGAAAGCTTGCTTGCTGGGACCAGGTTTGTGATGCATTTCTGCAGGGAGAGCCTCTTGGTTTGAAGTTCTACATTTTTTCACTGAAGGGCATGCAATCCTCCATATGTTCATAGTGAAAGATTTTCATAGTGCTATGATTGCTGTCAGATTTATGGTCAAGGAACTTAAGAATGTGTGTGTGTTTGCATGAGAGATAATTTGACTTTGTTCTTTCTCTGTGTCCAGAGACATGACATCCACAGACGTCCATACAGACTGTTCCCAAAGAGCAGTATGACAAGAATGAATCAAATGTGGCTGCTGCTGTAATGACCCAAGGGCTTCAGCAGCTTAGTGAATAGCAAATAGTGCTGCAGCACAGTGGGCCAAGAACACAGCCCATTAAATCACACGCAAAGTACAGATGAAACGAAAGAGAAGACTTCACTTTCCCCTTCTCTCTCCGTCTGAAAGTGACTCACTAGTGTCAAGACTAGCAAACTGCAAAGCATAATGCAAAGCAAAATGCAGCCATAACTTGTTTCCACGGTCGCATGCAAAAGTTTGAACAACATATACTGTTGTTTTTCTAAGTGAAATAAGTAAACACAACCTCTACATGGTACAAACTTAAATTTGGCATTATTCTGCAAATCTTTAGAGCACAATTATTGCTTATTTGCCTTTTTTTAGTTTAACATATTGGGAAAAGAATATAAAATGATATATAAAATGCACCATAACTTTTGCACAGGCCACATTTATGTTTTATTTTTTTCAGTATGTTAAATTCAGCAAACAAACAGTAATCGTTAAAATGTGCAGCGGTTTGTTCTCTGTAGAGGATATGTTAACTTACTTTCACTTGGCAAATCAACAAAATGTCATTTGACCAGGGGGTGAAATACTAATTTATGCCTTGGACACCCTGAATTTCTCAAAATTAAGCTAATAATCTTATGTTGATGATATGCTGTCCATTTGGGACAAATAAACACTCAAATACTAATCCAGGGAAAGGTCATAGTTTAGCTGCTCCTCCCACAATCTGCAGCGCTGGTCTGCCTCAGGGTGGTGCTGTAGCAAATTGGTTCACCCAGTTGGTCCTTCATAGCCTAGCAACTGTAACTATGCCCATGATCCTTCTGAAAAACTTTACAGCATGTCGTAGCATATTTGTAAATCTGAAAGCTCGCCAAAATTCCCAAGAGACTGGAGGTAAGAGTGAATTTTTACTCATTTCTCAAACTGAAGACAGAAGAGATGTGTAATATCTCATTTAATGCTTAGAAGAGAGCATGACCAAACTAGAAAAGAGGATTTCCAGGTGTCTTATTGCGATTGAAGCATTATGGTGAGTGATTTAGCAGCCAGCCAACGATGGAGTAGCCAGCCAACATTGGACACGGGGGGTATTTTGCACACTGACTGTACATAAAAGTGTACCCCAGCATGTTTCAACCTCAAGCCTACCTGCCGCATCTGTTATGCATTGCCGATAACGATAGACAATAATAGTATTTCCCTGTACTTAAGATAAAAACGCCTTTGTAATAGAAATAAACAAGCAGTTCCTGAATGTCACCTGTAAGTGTTTCTAAGAAATACTCAAAGAATTCACAAAATTTTTGGTAATATTATCAGTGTGGTGTGGGTGGAGTCTTCACAGGTTTCTGACTGTGTGCATGCATATCAGAAAACTTCACGGAAAGCAAAACCAGGACTGAATTTTACTGCAGTTGAAAAATTTTACTAACACATTAATTCTAAGACCTGTATTATTAGAGTGCAATGTCAGCAACTGACCAGGGAATTTTGATTTGATATTTCAGCTCTTTTCTAAGTATAATGAACATTCAACATCTATAGTAACTGACAACATATTACAGATGCTGCAGATAGACATTGGGATGAACGTTGGAAAAATTTCCTTAATGGAGAGCAGTGCTGATCATTCTTTTCTGCCAACACTACAGATATGATCTAATTATGTACAAAGGTCTATTGGAAGCAGGCCGCAATTTAATGTTAAGGTACCAACCCTCAGGAAAAATTAACAAAAGAACTAGAATAGGTGCTTTTAGAATGCAGACACTAGGAGTTTATTATTAGCAAGTCTTAAGATTTACTACTGAATAAACGAGTCTGGGGTTCAAAGAGTTAATAAAAGGTTTTTAGTGGGTAAAAATGTAGGGTGACACTCCAGTAAAGGGGACACAATAATGCTATTGTATTGTAAGCTTTAACGCTATTGTATTGTAAGCCTTAAAATCCAGATTCTGTGATCTACCCTTTACTATGGTGTATTAAGCATTTCCAGAGCACATTTACTTGTGTATTGCACATCATTATCTTTTGCACAGTATTTTAGGTGTTCATTATTATGCCCTTATTAAGCTTTATCCAGCCAATAGAAGGTTACTAACTTATCAAGCCAATAATTAACTGGCTGATAATTGTTACACTATTAAGCAATAACTTCAAAGCATTTTAATTTTTGTGTTTTATAGCATAAAGGTGACCACTTCTGGTTTACAGTGCACTTCATATTATCAGTACATAAAGGCTATGATTACATAGCTGTGTCCTCATGGTGAAAAAAAAGAATACAGATATAAAAGAGGCCTTGCACTTGACTGGTTTCTAGAATGTCTTTATCTCAAGACTGACACTATTCATTTTTGGTGTTGAGGCTTAAGTACTCTTCATAATCAACAAATAAAATGCTCTGGGAAAATCCTACATTCACACTTGTTAATGCTTAATAAAGTTTTAATAGTAGTTGCCAGCTTTTGGATTGGTATAATTTAATAAGGACATAATAATGGACAAAAGATTATGATGTATAATACACAAAATAGATGTGCTCTGTAAAATGCTTAATTTACTTTAGTTATTGCTTAATATACTTACTAATGAGCAGTCTGTTATTTCCCAACTGCTGGCTTGTTAAGGCTTAATAAGGGCATTACAAGAGCATTATAATGTCCCCTTCTATTGAAATGTCTTTTTCATATGACTAGTATATGCAGGCTATGATTTCACTTTAAAGTTCTGTCTTTCTAATGTAGCATGGTGGCTTGCTTAAAAAATTGCATATTACACTACACTAATTCCAATAGTTCTTAGTCTGATAGAAGACAATGTTTAAGAAGAATAACATGAGATAATAATTTAAACATTCACTTAATGTTTATTTTGTGCATTGTCAAATTCATGACCACAGGCAAATGAGGGAAAAAAGCTCAAACTCAAACTGCGTGGTGGATCTTCAGCAAGTCCATGTAAGGAAACATTTTACAGAATTACTTTAATGAGAGACACTGATACATAGTTTCATTACAACTTGAGATTTAGCACATTGGACAGACACAAAGCGACAGCATGTCGGCTGGTGATGTCTTTTAGTGTGAGCAGCAAAAGAGATTACAGCCTTAACCACATTAGAGCATTTAGCCAGAGTCTGACTAAAGCTGGCAGTATGCTTCAAATGCAAAACATTCATACGGTAGGATGTGCATCATCTGCTAAACAGCTTGAGTTGTGTTCCAAATGTTAGGTTGCAGTCCAGGTGGGCTGAGTTTCTAGACCCCGTCATCAAAGGCTGTCTTAATCAGAACGATCCTTCTAATACAGACAATAACTGCAGAACATTCCAAGTGAAACTGTATACATAAATATATAATTAGCATTAATGTTTTGCTTGCTAGCTCATCAGTTACATCGACAATATTTTCCCCATTAAATTTTGTGCACTTTTCTGGTGATATGACAAAGCGGCCTTGTGAAACCATTCCATTTACATTATGTAATGCAAACAAGGAGCCTACCTAGGACAGTCCTACCGAGGATCCTCTATTGTTTAGCTTTTTGAAGCTCTAACAATTGCTTTGTTTGTTCTGAGACCTCCCCCTGACTGTGATTGATCCGTATGGTTGCCTGAGTCACTGCAAATGCCAAGTCAGTTGAACATTTTCTGGATCCGGATCTTAAGAAATTCAGGTAAACCTTTTCTTTCGAAGGTCTGTGGGAGTGAGGCTACACTCAAGATAGTCTTATGGGCCTCCTCAAAAAGTTCCCTGCCGATCTCCTTCTTTACTCTGTCTCTCCATGCGCTCAGAGCAGGCCTGCCCTCAAACACATCCAAGCCTGTTCCAACCGGCTGAAATAAGCACACACAAAAATGTGTCAAAGTTCTTTTTGGGTGAGATAATAAACAGCAGTGATAGATAACATTTGATGCTACTTCTGGTAAACACTCAAAGATTGCATCTTTTACCTGCATGATCTCCACTATAGCTACCAGATCGGCCAGTGATATCTTCTCTCCGACTACAAAAGGCCTGTCTTGTAGAAACTTCTCCTCAAAGAGCTTAAGGCTCATATTCAGGTCTTCCACTGCAGAGTCCATCTTCTCTTTCGGCACAGGAGCCCCAGTGACAGCAGGCAGAACTCCCTACGAGAAATCTCCATCAAAAATCCAAACTCAAACAGCATTAAATAGCACATAGCATGGAAAACTGAACTTACTCAATTTTTTGAGGTAAAAATATTGATGTAGTATATCACTGTTGTCTGAAAAAAACCTTGTATCTCTAAAATGGTAACTTTACAGGAAAAGGAAACAACCTACTTTACTTTTAATGTAAGTCTATGGAAACAGATTTTTCCCAAGTCATTTTGGGCTGTTTCTTTTGGTCCATTCATCATGAAATTTACACACAATGTAAAGGCCAACAGGTATTTTCAAATTATGTCGAAAAATGAAAAATGACATGGAGATATGAGGTTTTCTTCCGACAGCAGTGATATATGAACATTCTTTCAAAATGTACCATTTACTCCCCTGTCAGAGAAAATGGACACCATTGTCCTAAGGTCCACCAGTGTGGCTTAATTAAGTTTTAAAGGTATACTACAAGGTTACTACTTTCCCAGAAAAAAGGGGACATTAACCTTTGTCATATATAACCTTTGTCATAACATAAAGTTTTAAAATAGACAAGTAAAATAAAAAACCTGGAATCGAGACTGGGTGTATAGAGTCAACGGTACTGAAGGTACTGAAGATGTACCTTTGAGGGGACCATCCCAGTGGTGTGAGGGGCACCACCCCAGTAACAGTTTAGCACCTTTTTTCTGAGGGAGAGTGAATATGGAACCTAATCTGCAAAAACACCCTGTTTTGAATTCACAAAAAAACATTTGTCTACAGCAGTTTAGGCCCACCCATCACATTGAAGTTATAAGGAGTGTTTCAGCCCAGACTGCTTTCTGAATAAGACACAATACAGGGCAGCCAATCAGAACAGAAATCATTTACATATATCAGTTTTAAAAAGTAGGGAAGAACGTAAGGAAGCATTTACTTGACCTGGAGGTCTACCACCTCTCACAGTTTAGCTTTGACCTTAATATATCACATCTGATCCAGGTAATGAAGGTCTTCAGGGGCATCTGAATTTTAGAGACAGGTGTTTTTGATCTGAACTCTCCAGGGTTGTAGATCTCCAGGAGCAGCATTTGGCACCCCTGACTTACTATATTACAAAACTTTATCATGCTTAATACTTATATAATACGTACTTAACATACTATGTTATAATATGTCTTATATTCTGTGTGGCCCAAATCCAGTCAATGAGTTTTGATCTATCTATATGATAGAAAAACTACCATGTGTAGTTTTGGTAGTTTGTACTTATGGTTGGCTGTAAACTTCTTTGCTAATGACATATTACATTCACTAAATACAGCAAGCTATGAGTATATGTTTTCTACTTGTGAGCAGCTAAAGCTGCATATTGTGTACTGACAATGTATTAATCTTGTAGATAGTCCAATTTCAGCACAACACACAACTCATTTTCTTAGGTATCAGTCATAAACGTAACAGACAATTTTATGGGAGAAAACATATTCTGTCCTGATAGTACTTTAGTTGACATAAGGAAGGAGGGAAGTTCAGTCAAAAAGCATTGAGTAACCTAGTAAATAAGTAAGCAAATCAATAAGTGGGGAAGAAGGTCAATGCCTGACTGTTTGAGTTGCATAATGAGTTTTTGTGTAACTTCTATCAGTACATGTCCAACATAGACAGCTCTAGGGGAAAGATTCTTGGGGCTTTAGGCAAAAGACAGGAACAGGGCACTGAAAAAATGCTGCTGCAAAAACTAAAAAAACTAAAATCTTTAAATAATAAAATTAAATCTAGTCAACATACATAATATTTCTTGTTTTGACAATTGTAAAAATATTATAATATTATTTAACTAATTGCTTTAAGAAATTTTTTGTGAGGTACTTGGATAACTTTGTTTGATTTTTCCTCTCAACACTTAACAAAGCATTCACTCCATAATGTAGATTAATGCTTAACTGCACTTCGTCTTCAAACTGCTGTGTCATCATATAAAAACACTGGGTAGTCCATTACAACCATGACCAGGGGGTGGGGCTGAATTGAAATTACTCTGAAAATGATCACTACAATCACAAATTACAGCTTTTTTATAATGTATATATATTTTAGAAGAGGTTTTTAAACATCAACGCGTACAGTACATCTAATTTTGGCTCATGGGGGCTCTAAGCGATTGCCTACCTTTTCCTAGTGCAAAGACCGACTCTGAATGGCTCTTACCCTGAACCAAAAGACCTTTGATCCATGGGTCCTCATGTTAGTATGCTGCCAAGAAAGGTACTCATCAACCCGGGCACGCTTCTGCAGGTCAACTGGATACCAGTGGTCTGGAGTGGAATATTTCCCCACCAGGTACTGCAGGATTGCTGTGCTACAATATAGCATTAAATTATGTTAAAAATTATTAAACTAATTCCAGAAAATGAAAAAGCATTTAAGACTAAATGAACTGAATGCACGGAGAAGGCTACTGCCTCATTGTTTCATGATATTTGACAACATTTTTTGTGTCCTGAAGAAGGCCTTGATTAGGCTGCAATTTTTATATGCATTGCCATGTGTTAATAAAGGCTTTTTAGATTTTTCTTGAGACAGTATTCCCACTTCTCCATTTTTGACTGAGATAATCATTGAGATTATTTTCATCATTGACTTGCTTATTTAATATTATTGCAACTTTGCAGCGTAAACATGTAGTAAACTTAATACATTTTTATTATGTTTTATTTTCAGTCAAGGCCCTTAAAAATAATCTGGATGATAAATGACACTAATTACTACTTAAAAATGCTGTTTGCATGACAATTCAAGCTCTGAGTTGTGGAAGCTCCAAGTTTACAGAGATGAAAGATATTACCCTAACAAGGACACAGTTGGCTTACAATTGTCCTCTGCGACTGTCCTAAATCATTAAAAAAGTTCACCTCTTCTGGATAAAAGACCCCTTAATTCAAGTACCACTGATCAGGCTGTGAATCTGAAGGAAAGCTGTGAAACTAGGACCTAAGAGCATTATGAGGAAATGGGACATAGAAAATAGGAAAGGCTACAATATAAGCAAAACAGCTGTTTGGATATCCCTGTGAGCACTGTTGGATCAATTGTAAGGAAGCTGCATCATACCACCTAGGCACTGTCTACTCAAGGCCATCCCTGAAAATTTAGCATGACAGCAAGAAGAAGATTCCTCACTTTAAAGAAGTTCAGTGGCAGTGACTGGAATGAAGTCACATCGGTCAACGATATCAAGAGCTCTGTAAATAACTGGCTTGTATGAAACGGTGGCTAGAAAGAAGCCATTACTGAAGAAAAAACACATTAAAGCTCATCTGGAGTTTGCCAGAAAGCATTAGTGACCCAGCTAAAATGTAAAATTTTGGGCTAAAGTTTAAAATGCTGTGTGTGGTGCAAACCTAACACTGTCCATTCTTTAACAAACACCATCCCAACAGTGAAGCATGGGGGTGGCAGCATCCTGTTGTGGGGATGGGAGATACTGCAAGACAACCTGCTTCAGTCTTCTAAAAAGTAAAGCTTGGAAGAAACTTCACCTTCCAGTGGGACAGTGATCCCAAGCACAAGGGCAAAGCAACACAGGAGTGGTTGAATCACAAAAGGGTTATTGTCATCTTTCCAACCTGAACAACCTGCAGCAAATCTGCCTGGAAGAATAAGTGAAATTCACTCCTAAACAGTGGGCAAAGCTACCCCAACAGACATAAAGCTGTTACTGTAGTAAAAGGTGGCTCTACCAAGTGCTTGTCTGAAGGGGTTGAATAGGGGTTGAAATATTTAATACTTACAGTTTTTATTTATTTATTTTTTAATCTGCTGACAAATACTGAATTTACCTGAAAACTGACTTTAAGAACATAACTCTTTGCAGCAGAAATACTGGCTGAAACAATCTATGTCATTTGTTATCAAGACAATGGATGATTTTGAATCTGACTTTTGAGGGGGTTGAACACTTTTGCAAGGCCCTGAGTTTTGTATACCTGTGTTGTGGGTCTGTTATTTGTTTTTTATGATGATATGTAGCATGTACTAAACCTACTGTAGTCAGTTTGATTAGATTGGCCTTTAATTACCTTCAAAAATGGTACATACATTCTAATTTTCCATTTAAATTCCCATTATTTGTTTCCCTGTTAACGTTTTAACAGAAATTCCATTAATGTGTGATTGTAAAAGAAATCTGAAAATTCACTTTTCAGACACTCACCTCTCTGTAAGGATAAAAGCTCCATCTTTGAGGACAGGCACTTTCCTTACCACACTGATCTTTCCAAACTCTTCTCCGAAATGTTCACCTGATAGACAAAGTGAAATCATTAGATTTCAATACATCATCAATACCCATAGAAATATAGAAGCTGTACTCTCTAAGCTATAGCAACAAACTTGTAGACTTGAAAAAGGAGGGAAATGATGAATACACCACTGTACATGTAAACTATTATTAACAGTCAAAAAAAAATGCTACTACAACTTTCAGTGCACAAAATCCAAGAGGCAACATGTAACTACATCACATTATGACTGAAAAGTAATAATTCAATGATTTTTCTACCTGCAGAGAGATCCACCTCTTTGTATTCAAACGGAATGTTTGCTAGCTTGGCAAATATGTAGACAGAGCGACAAGGCTGAGAGTGCAGGTCAAGATACAACTCAAGTGCCATTATAATGTAGGTCACCACGTCCAGCAAAATACTATAGAGTTTCACATGAAGTCAGTATATTTATGCAGAAAACTCCGCCCCCTCCACCACCCCCAGGAGAATGCTCTTAGGCCAAGTTAATATGTTCTGGCTGTACTTTGTCATAGGCTAAGTGATCATGAATAAAGACAACAGAACAAACTGAGAATAACACACATCTAGCTCTAGATGCATCTGTTAGACAGTGTTTGTCTTGTGTACTAATGCTGTGATTGACTGGAGCTTGTGTTCCTGAATTTTCCACAAAAGAAAACATGACCTCAACTGGAAATGATATTTGCATTAGATCAGTCAACACATAGACAGAGTAAATGGTTAAATGTATCACACTGACCAGGAGGTTCACTGTTTTGAGAAGGTAAATAAATTGTGAATGTTAAAATCATATCACTGACATTAGCTGGCTAGCTTATTGATAATGCTCATTTCAGTTTTGGGTTTTTTATGCGCAGATGTAAGAGAAAAAGTATCCAAAAGATGAAAAAAAGTATATTTTTTTCCTACAACAGGCCCACAGCAGTCTTTTGCTATTTAAGCACTGACAGCCCCCTTTTGATGATGTATCTTGAAGGTGGGTTGGATGCTTTTCCAGTGTCTGCATTTATTACCATCTACATCAGTGGCTACACTAACATTCAGGATTTCTTTGCTGCTGTGGAGGGATTACCAATGGTTGTATGACATATTTGCATAATGCATGCTGGGTATTGTAGTGAGAGAACGGTGCTTGATAAAGACACAAAATGGACATAAAATCACAATTTCTGTCCAACTGATGAGAATGAGGAATGCAATGTTGTGCTACACAATATTACATAACGTATTAAATGCTAGGCCAGAATGCCTTTTTAATTATCTTTATCTAGATTGTTTTAGGTTTATTAAGCAAACTCACCCTACTAACAGGTGAATTTCTCTCATATCCCTATGGAGTAGTAAACCAGTAATATGGTGTATCCGAATGGCCTCTCGTTCTCTAATAACTCTGCCATTGCAACATGGTGTACACAACCAGTGTTTGAACTCTGGCTGCTGACAGGCTGGCTGTAGTACTAACCGCTGAGTTATCTAAGCAGTAGGACTCAAGGATGTCCGAAGCTTCATTTAGAACACAACCACATGACTGCTTTTGGAGACTGATTCAAAATCAGCAAATTGGGACATATTTCCATTGTTTTGAGCCAATACCAAACATCTTGTTTCAGGATTTTCAGAGTTTATATATGAAGCTCACACCTTGGCTATGAATGAATGTGCAAGTTTGTCAGGGTATTTGCTATAAATACCAGCTGAAAACTATCTTGAGCCATTAAGCTAAAGTAATTTGTTTTATCAAATAACATCCCCCACAGAGTAGATGTATAGCTGCTGTTCATGCTTTTAACCACCAGGTGACCAGGTGAGGGATCATAGTCCTTACAGCCATAGGCTCTTCCTTCTGTCCCTGTGTCTCAGTTAAAGGGGCGTTACTTGGTAGATCATGTCGTTTGGGGTTTTCCTGACAAATCCGGCTGGTTTGAAATGGCAGTACAGATTGGATTATATAGGGGTGCGTTTTTTGTTTGGGCTACTTTCTAAATGTTCTGCGGCCACAGAAAAAGTTTGAAAATGAAGACAAAGTGTCTCATAAATGTATATTGAATAGCTGGCAACCCAAGACACATAGCACATACAGTAAGAGAAGCAGCAGAAGAGTGCAGCTCATTTGGTGGTGTATAATGTAGTATCACAAAAAACCGATCTCTGTAAGTTCGTATATGATTTGTTAGATGTAGAGATAATTTTAATAAATATGTTGTGTTTTTGAAACAGTGTTTTGGACGCTTACATTAGGACATATTTTTCACACATTCATTACAAAACATGTTTCAACCACTCTGAATGACTTTTGTTTACATCTCAGTGACTGAATTATGCAGACATTTTGACAAATTTGCAAAATTCTTTATAAAGTTTAAAATAAAGTTTGAGAAAACAGATGCAAAGCTTTATTAGTGCCGCAGCCCCTCAACACCTCTACTACCTGCAGTAATGCACAAAACCATGCTTGCATGGCTCAAAATGTTCAAAACACACGCGCACACACACACACACACCATCTAAACTGGAGCCTATACTAGCGGTTAATGGGCGGAAGGCACGATACACCCTGGACAGGTTGCCAGTCCATCACAGGGCAGGCACAACCACTACAGCACTGTTTAAAAAAATGCTATTTTTACTTTATATTTGTTTAACTTAAAAAAGAAAAATGTAATTGTGGCATGTGTAAAAGTGCAGAGACCCCTCCACTTGTAAAGTGTCAGAACTTAACTCGCTAGGCCTTAAATGACTTGTTAGGACTGGTTACACAGTTTTCAGTCGTCAGACAATTCTAGAGCGTGATAAATTCTCTGACTCTTTAAAACTTATTAACACTTAACAACCATGGGCTTCTCTTAAGCAGCTGGCTGAAGATCTGCAAATGAAGCTAACTGGGATCAGGAAAGGGATCAGGAACAACTGCCATATGGTTTGAAAGCTCCCTCAAAACATCTTAAAATATTATGTATAGTCCAACTCTTCCAGTTGCACATGTGCTACTGAGCCAGTCCCACTTAAACGAATAGGAGCTAAGGCTAATGATCAGAGATGGGCAGAGTAGTGCACACCCCTTCTGAAGTATTGTTACTTCAGCAAAATTACAACTCAAGTAAAATTACCTTTCACAATTGTGCTTGAGTACATGTAATTGATTACCGTAACTAGTCACTTTCCCTCCTCTGCTAATGACTCTCTGAGGGAGTGCTATATCCCACTTTGTCCCTGCATGTTGACCCCAAAACTTGTGCAACTATAGACTCAATGATAATTAAGTTTATTTGGAAAAATAAAAGAGATTATATAAAGTAAAAAATGGTGATTAGTCGATATAAAAAGGGGCTTTCAACATTCTGGATTTCAACCCTGTTAATTACATTTTTCAAGATTAATTGGATTAAACACTGTTTGGATCCTACCAGCTCATTCTGCTTTAATATACCCACTTGGTGGACTGTAATGTTCACACGCATGTGAGCTTAAATGTAATAAACGTCCTGTAATGTTAGCAAACGTCCACAAGAGGGCGGCAGAAACATGATGAATGGCCTTTGAACATAACTTTACCCCTTACTCTTCTGTTTAGTGGAATAATCGACACAGTTTACGCACAAATAAGTCTGTATTTAAAATGTGTTAATTCAGCAGGCTTTTGAAATGAGGTATCACTGTTGATGTACTTTTTTTTTGCAAGTAATCCATATTAATGACACAGTGGACTTATTTCTTTCAGTCAATGCAGGTATTTCTTTCATTGATGGTGCCATAAGGCTCACAGCTCTTCATTTGCACAAACTCAGAATTACCTCCAATAAACCTTACTTTAGATTATTTATCAGAGATTTAAAACTGCTTTGATTCCCTGCCTAATATTCTCAATAACAAAAATCCACAAAGGCTTTTCTACTTAAAGACTGTGAGTGCTGTTGATTAATATATTTTTCTTTCTTCTGGTCTCTTTCTGGTGTCCTTGCACTGTTTTTGTACTAAATTATTTATTCAAAAAGACTCAGAGGGCTGTGTCAAAATAGATGAAACCTCCTTTCCGCACTGCTGTCCTACATTTTGTCTGATCTGTAAGTTGGATCCGTAAGTCTGATCTGTTGCACCAAATCCGGTGGCAGAGCTGACTAGCCTGTGGATCCATCTGACTACAGATCAGGCAAAATCAGCGCGAGCAAATGGGAGAGGAAGTTTTATGAGAAATATCGGGACGCAGGGTCAACACTATATTCCTGCAGAACAGCAGGCAGCCAGCATCTTGTTCGAGTTTTCCCGTTCCACCTTAAATGATGCATCAGCCAGCTTCTTGTTCGAATTTTCCCATACCACCTTAAATGGTGCATCAGCCTCGAATAATTCGAGAGAACGTTTTGCAGTTCGTACGCACGTTTTCTTTTATTCGTGGTCACAAGTTCTTAAATCGTTCCTTCGTTTTCTTTTAATCGTGCGCACGTTTTCTTTACTTCGTGGGTACGATTTTTTTTTCGTGATCACGATGTTCTAATTCGTTCTTTCGTGTCTTTCATGTTTTATTTTTACCTGAACGCACATTGGCTATGTTTACATGCAACGATTTTTGCCAATCCGATTGAATACAATCCGATTACAGATTTAGACTGAGGTGTTTATATGCACTCTATTCAACAATCTGATGGAAAATCTTCGTTTACATGCTCACTACAAGTAATCCGATGCAAAATGACGCGCATGCGTGGAGTAGCGCTTAGAGTAAACGTTACCATGACAGCGAACATCACGTGAAGTCCAGACCAGTTTCTGCTCCGCCATGTTGAGCGGTGTAAACTTTCGCCGTGACGCGACGCACATGCGCAGAACATACTTACACGTTCCGATTGGAATGTAATCGGATTCAGGCGTTTACATGGCTATTATTCTTCTATTTAACGGATTATTTAGAAGTTTACCCACCTCGTTTAATCGGATAGAAATTGTATTCCGAATGGCCTCAATCGGATTAGACTATTCCGATTGAGGTGTTTACATGGACGTATTCTATTCCGATTGAGCTATTAGTCGGATTATTAACGGATTATCAGGCTGCATGTAAACGTGGCTATTGTTTGTGTTTTGATAACAGTTCCCTGACACTGTTTGACGGGTTTTGATGTGTTGGATTGATGAGATAATGAACAGAGACGCTCATCAGGTGTGATTTTGATTTGGGGGGTTATGAGGAAACTGCAGCTCCTCTTCACAGCAAACAGCCCACAGTGTTTCTGCTCCCGCGTCAAGCTGCGGTATTGGAGACCATCACACAATTACAGGACGAAATGATCAGCGTTTCAACATCCTCAAATTAATATATCACATCTAATCCATATATCTATTAAACTCTCTCGCCATTTGACCTCACCCCACATGAATGTTTCTGTGTGTGTTCAATTTGAGTTTGTTGAAACGTTGACGCTGATCATTTCTTACTGTAATTGTGTGATGATCTCTAACACCGC